ATGTGAGAAGCAAATCAAGAGCAGGGCGGGGCCGTGACAAGATACCACAAACGCATACATATTCCCAACCCAAATGCAAAGCAGCATGGAAAGATGATACGATGTGACCGATCGTCGCCAAACAACTGTTGGTCTCTGGGTTACGGAGTAAGCGGACCCTGCTGGCATGCCCCCCAGTGGCTCCCGGTCGATGGATGGGACCTGTTGGTTCATGGTTATGTCATGAATGCAGTCACACCACACAGCATGGACACCCCATGTCAAAAAAAAAAAAACATGCGGACACACTACGCCGACCGCAGCCAGACATCACTCAATACGAGTAATGACGGTGCAAATAAACAGCAAGAATACGCTGTTCCCACCCCCCCCCTCCGGTCCGGCCAGTCTTCTGGCTGCAGCAGCGCTCTGCGCGGCCGAAAAGTTCTGACACAATTTTTATATCGCCGCGAACACAGCGGCCTGCGCATGACCGAGCCGGCATTTTTGGCAGTCCAGATGAGAGGCACTCCACCTCTGGTCACCGGGTATCACCGATTCAACCGTGTGGATGCAGCTTTCATTAGACCCGCCTTCTAGAGTCACCTCTGCCCCCAGGTAGCACCCTTGTTGAGGATGCAGCATTCATTAGACCCGCCTTCTAGAGTCACCCCTGCTCCCCAGGTAGCACCCTTGTTGAGGATGCAGCTTTCATTAGACCCGCCTCTCTCTAGAGTCACCGCCCCCAGGTAGCACCCTTGTTGAGGATGCAGCTTTCATTAGACCCGCCTCTAGAGTCACCCCCCGCCCCCAGGTAGCACCCTTGTTGAGGATGCAGCTTTCATTAGACCCGCCTTCTAGAGTCACCCGGTCCCCAGGTAGCACCCTTGTTGAGGATGCAGCTTTCATTAGACCCGCCTTCTAGAGTCACCCCCGCCCCCAGGTAGCACCCTTGCTGAGGATGCACCCTCTGTGGTCCACGGTCCACAGGCCCTCGGAAATGACACAGGGGGGGGTCAGCCATCCTCTCCCGCTGTCCAGCAGGTCCAACACGGGCAAGGACTTCCCGGAAGTAAGGCGGCGCGGCCGCTCGAAGCCGTGCTCCTCCTCCCGTTCCGAGGTGGGGACGCCCGGCGCGTGGGGAGAACTATATCCACAGTAAATCCCCCCGCCCCTGGAAATCCGGTAGGTCACATCTGTGGGCCACACCCGCACTGCACCAACGGCTGCAGGTGCTCTACCAAGCAGCCGCGCCCCAAGGAACAACTCCATCCCCGAGCATGTGTGCCGGTGCCGGCGCTGAATCGTCGACTACCTGTTGACTGGCCCGGACATACTGACACTCCGTGCTTCGCGCAGGCAAGTGCTGCATGCTCACCACATTCCCCTTGCCACGTCGCTGATGGCTCAAGGCAAAGCCTCGCCATACCCGAACGCCCTACTGGACATCCCCCTTCGATCCCATAACCTGCCAGCGTGGCCGTCATGGAAGTGTGTTGTGTTGGCTATGCCAGTGGCTGGACAAGGATTCCCTGTCGGTGCCGCTCCTGGCGGTCGAGGGCCGATGTCCCGTTTGGGGACAGGAACTCGATAGCCTCCGAGTAGGTCCGCATACCATCCAGCATACCTCACGAGCGTCATCAAACTGAATGCGGCGCCGCCTGCTTTCAAAGCATCTGCGGTTCGCCCTCCCTCCGGCTCATGCAGATCGTACGGCCAACAAGCCTCCAGCCTTGCGGCCGCCGACGCTCAACACCACACTGGCGCGCGGGTGCAGTCCCCCTCCGACCTCGCCGAATCCTTCTTGCCACCTCCAAGCACACAGGTCGATCAGCTTCCCCGATCCCCGGAAATTGGAGGGCACCCCCCCCTTGCCGAGAGGGGTACTCGGCCGCATCGACAATTGTGACATCGGCGTACCCTCAGGATGGCCCCAGCTCACCCGCCTCTCGCACCCATGCGGATCTCGTGGGAGAGCAGGGTGGGCCTCCCCGCTCCTGAGCGCACGAAGTTTCATGGGGCCGGGCAACCAGGGGACCGGCATAGAGCTGCCGGTCTCCCCTCCGGAACGGTGCGCCAGCGCCCACGCAGGAGCTCCTGCCTGAGCGAGCCGAAATGGTTCGGGCACGCTGATGGGGGCGAGATCACCCCCCGCCCGGTTCGGGGCCATCCCAGCATGCAGCGCTGCTGCGGGCGCCGCGGCCGCAGGAAGGAAGGGGAGACGAGAAGGGTGGCAGAGACGCAGCGGGAGGGAAAGGTGGGAGGGAGTGCACCTGGAGCATGATGCGCTCGGCGCGGCTGAGAGCGGCAGAGAAGGGGGTAAGCACGATGGCGATGAGTGGGTGCACCGCCAATATCATAAAGAACCCGGCCTTTGCGGCCTTCCTGGCTTTGCGCATCACCGCTCGAGGGCTCCAAGGATTGCTTCTCTGCGGCTGTGTTCTTCGCTGATCCTCCCCGTGCAGCTCGGCAATGCGCTCCCAGTGCCGTGCATTGCACTCCTGTGCGGCACCAAGCGCACCCCTTTCCTCTGACATCGGCAAGTGGGCGCGCAGGAAAGCCGGCGGGCGGAGTTACACCAGAGCTGCACAACTTGAACTGGTCCGTTCATTTCTAACAGGGGTAATTTCTCGGATCCGACAGTCCATATGAAAAAGCCGACATCCTAGAGATCAAAATACGATACATTCCTTCGTCGCTCCCCAGAAATGTCTTCGGACCTTCCGATGTTCACGATCTGAAAATATTGGACGGGCTCAACTTTAGTTGGGCACCCCTAAGTTACACGAGCGCCTGGAAGCGGAGAGCGGGAGGTAGAGCTGGAAGGGTCCTCGCAGCACCTGTACCAAGCAGCCTGCTTGCAGCTGCAAGCCCTGCAGAATCGTGGAGAGGCAATGCGGGCGGATGATGGCAATCGAGGTGTGGCCGCTAGGGGGGACTTGGTGCGATAGGAGGGAGGATGTAAGGTGCACGATTTGAGAGGTCTGTGTTGATATGGGGGGGTGACGTGGGACGTACGTGAGGCGAGCGGCAGGCGGCACTCGAGGGCGGCGCGGTGCTATCCCCAGAGGATCGCCACAGCGTGCTGGAAGCGCTGCTGCATGTTGTATACGAAAATCGGTACGACGGCGCATTCTACGACGGTCGACAGGTGTCGCCGCTCCCGGCTGTGGAGGGCGTTATGCACGAGGTGCAGGAGACGGGCGAGGTGCCTCGCGTCACCAGCGTGGCCGTGGCTTGTGAGGCTGTGTGCTCGGTGTGTGCCTGCGCCCCCCCTGTAGCCCCCTGGAGCCCCCCGTGGGAGATGCGCCTCGGGGAAGATGGGCCACGTGGACCAGGCTTCCCGTGGGCAGGGAGTGCTGGGCCACGTCAGCCGCGTGCTGTATGCATCCATGCAATCATTGTTCCCTGGCAGCGCCCTGCCACGTGGCACGGCCTGCCAGTCACGGGTGCGTGTGACGAGTCCGGGCGGTCCTCTCTCATGTGGGGCGCGTTGACGCTGCCAGCCACGGGACTGCTGCTGCGCGATCGCCGAGGCTGGCCTGTGCGGCGAGGTAGAGGGCGGTGCAGCATTAGTGTCGTTGTACTTTTGTTATCGTAGAATTGGGGGTGTGGCCCGCGTGGTTGGACATTTTGAATTTTAAGGCATGCCGCGCCGATGCGATGGTGCCTACATCACGCAGCGATATGTTTGGACACGAATCCGGATTGAATTTTCCGAAAGGATGATCCATCCAGCTTCTCGAGGCCCGGCCAATCAGAGTGCTATGCTTGGCGAGCAGGTTTCACTGGTGCTGATCCTCGAGGCCAACATCGCAGAAAGGGCTTAGGCAGCATATTTGTTTTATTTTCAGGCGAAATCTCCTCGCATGCGCTATTTTTGGAGCGCCGGGCATGCGTGAGGCGAGGAGGCTTCTCCACCCTGGCATTGCGGGAATCGTGCGGGATTGTCCAAATCCCACTACCTGAGCTTCCTGAAGATAAGCCGATGCAATGCAACACCCCGGACAGGAGGCGTTCAAGCAAGAGTATAAGACTATAAGTAGTACCCTATTTGTAGCACCCTCTCGGGCTCGTGGGGAGAGAGGAGCTCCTGTGAAAACAACAGGGGAGTAAAACGTTTTTCGGGCTTGCCGTTAACCTGCGTCTATTTCATTTCCCAAGACTGATCCAAATGCAGGATTGTCATGTGCACTTGGCTATACGTTCGCCCAACCTAGGCCCTGGCCTGGGCCTGTATGCTCTCCCTTGGTGTACATCCTCACTCAAAAGTTTGATGAGAAGGGTATAGCTTGTGTCCGGATTCGAAATCCATACCAATATTGAGTGGCGCTAAAACGGGCGAAGCAATACATTTTAATGATTTGGGCAGAGGGCGCCTGATCTACATGCTCTCCCAGAGGAACGACTAAAATGTGGAGCCGAGCAGCTTTGTTATATGTGAAGCTTAGTGCCGTGGCAAAGCAGAGCTGCAAGCATGGTCTGGGCGCCGGCCTTGCCATGGTGTCGCTCTGAACCAGCTCCTGGTGAAGAAGCAGTGATGATCCGGGTGCACCGGCGAATAGCATGCATGGAATGCTCATCACGCGGCGCGGTGGGCGCGGGGCGTGAGTGTCCGGGGATGGTTGGGGTGTGAGCGTGGCAGCTGGTTCGCACGCACCCGGAGGGCCTCCTGCCGGCGCAGTTCGTGAGGCAGTATCTACAGGCCAAGTCGCCCCCCATCGACACGGAGCACGCCGCCAGGGCCGCAGAGGACGCGGTCTTCCACCACCAGGTCATCCTTGCTCTTGCCACTCCTCTAAGCCGTCTAGATCTGCCATAAGCGATTGGCTCTTGATGGTGGACGAATGTGGGAGCGCCGCCTAGGATACGCGCTTGTGCTTGGCAAGCTCGCCCCTCTTTCAGCTCCGCCTCTCTGCAACGCGCTCCATAAGTGCAAATTCAAATTCAAATATATCTCAATTTCGATTTGTGTCATTCTCTTTCAGAGCTGGTGTCATCTTTATTTATTTTTCAGAAGGTGAACCGAGGGGGAATTGAACCCACCGTCCACAAATTACTGGATTGGTGTGCTATCACTGCACCATTGGTTCTATACGAAGTATAAACTCAGATGAATCCATCATCAGTCCTTATGGGAGCAGCACTCGTATTTTCCAGGATAAGCCGCAGACAGTTGCCAGTATTTCGATTTTTTCAAGGGTTTTAGGGTTTATGGGTTTAGGGTATTCTGGGAGATCTGCTGTGGCTGCCTGGTGACATAGGAGTCGGTCCAAGGATAAGGCAAACTCGCCAGCCCATTCATTCCCGTCTGGCGAGTAGCGCTGACTGCCACGCGGGTAAATCTGTAGACGGATGTAAAGAATTCAGCAGGTTTCACAGTCCTATTCCCCTTCCCCTTTGGTTGTGGCAGCTCCCCTTACCACACCCCTTCCGGGGCTCCTCTTTCAAAGCCGAAGGCAAGCAAAGGGAAATGGTAAGAAGAAATGCATTAGGCTTTTGGAACACTGTAACCCCCCTCTCAACACGCCCCCCTCTCAACGCGCTCCCTTGCCCCATGTGCACAACATATTGTACCGCACACTCGCGGCCGGTGTGCTCGCGGCATTGCACCAATCAGCTTCGCCTCGGCGGAATGAACAGCTTTTGGGCGGGCTGGCGTGGGTCCACCAGGATGAGGGCACAAATCGCTTCTGGCAGTCATTGATGCAGCACCTGGGGCGCATGGTGAAGGGCCACGTCACATCCCCGGCTCAAGCCGCCGCCGTGTTTGCGCCCTTGATGCTCCGCGGCCTCTCAGGCGCGCCCCCTCAGCCCTTGATGCTCCTCACTTCCCCCCGCACTCTCACTACCCGGATGCTGGAGCTTCCCAATCAAAAAGCACCGAGGTGAATGCTCTTGAAAGCAGCCGACATCAAAATCTGACGGTGCGTGGCCGATTCCTGAGATCGAACCACGATTCCTTCCGGACTCCCAGAGATCTCACAGGACCTTGCCGCGCTCTGTATCTGAGCCCATCGATAGGCTGAGTTTAGGTTGAGCACCCCCTCCGGTCACTGGAGTCCTGGTGGCCAGGAGCAACTGCGTCCGGAGGCATGAGCTAGGACCGGCCAGAGCCTGTGGAGGCATGAGCTAGGACCGGCCAGAGCCTGTGGAGGCATGAGCTAGGACCGGCCAGAGCCTGTGGAGG